ATCGATCAGATCGATAGCGGATGATTCGATCTCGCGATCAAGACTCACCAAGACTTCCATGCCTCTACAGTCGGTGATTTGGTAGCAGACTTCTCTGGTAGGATAAGCAGCAATGGCTTGATACATTAGTGGGCTAGTGCGAGTCATTGTAAAGGCCCGATACTTCTTAGATCACATTTAGGTACTTTTCGCTTACAAGGGAATAAATGAATTTTCGACCTCACTCGCTGGAGAGGAACTTTTCATAGGAGTGTTAGTATCCATTCGAAAGCTGAGACTTTAGACTATAGCCCCAAGTCGCGGTTTTTCCAGAACACCCTTTTATAAAGCTGTAAAGTCCAAAATAAAATCATGTTTAACACGCGCATATTTCTCGCCGGACAGAGCTCTGTTTCAAGACTAATAGTAATCATTCGATAGTATGAGTTCCAGTGATCCCAATGCTATGCTTATTTTTTTGAAAATTTTTTTTCTCTACAGTGCAGTAGGAAAAATAGGATCAAATTTACATGTGTGGCAAGAGGATTTTGGCTGCTCTGTGGGGTGGGGGACCCAAGGTGGATGTGGTCGTTTCAATACGCCGGTCGATAGATGGTCCTTCGGCGAGCCATAGAAAAGCATGATTTTTTCTGTTCAATAAGAAATTGTTACCCGAAACGCTAGAATAAACGTCGAACTCTCATACTAAACAATTTTCGCTACACGTTCATGTGCTTATCGTGCTTCTAGCAAAACAATAGTTGAATTACGGGGCCGATGAATAACATAATTTTTTTTGAATTTTACAGCGTTATAAAAGGGTCTCTACAAAAACCTGCCACGTATAGTTTTGGCCAGAAATTCAATCTTTCGAATAATCACTAACACTCTTATGAAAAATTTTTTGTACACCGAAAGAAGTGTAAATTCACTTGTTCCTTATAACCGAATTGAACCCACATTAATGATGCTACGAATGGAATCGAATGCAGCGCGCATCCCTTACGAATTAATTAGCGCCGATGGTTATATCCCTAGCTTTTGCTCATTACCTTCTACGTATTTCAGCCAGGAGATTTTTATGAGATGGAACCAATTAGTATTTGTATGACAAGTGCATCGGATAGCATTCGCCGACATCAAAGAAACAAGAGCAAATCAATGAACGTGAATGACGAAACTGGTCGTATTATGTAAATTCGTTTTGGAATGTGCTCTGCGCCAGTCTCATCCGATTTTCTCTTGTACTAGACAATTCCCCTCAAGTACGATTGTCGTCAAAATCGATAAAGATAAAGAGAAAGAAAAAGAAAGCGAAAAAATGCAGTCTGAAGAGCATGATAAGAATGCTGGGAAGTCCAAAACATTTAAGAATCAACAACAAAGTCGATGCTCTCGATTTTCCTAAGACTCATCGTCTAGAAAGTTCACTAGAAAGATTAATTCAGCCGATCCTTAGATTTAGAGCCTAACCAAAAGCTACGGATTCGAGAACATTTGTAAAAAAAAATAATACTATTACATCAGTATTACGAGTAAAATTGCACTCAAAATGCAAGCATTCTAATAAACCCCAAAATTCCATAGAGAAGAGCGATCTAATTTTGCAAAAAAAAAAAAGATAAACACGCTCGCTTTTCGGTAATCAGATATTTTCCCAAGTTTTCATCTTTTATTTTGAACACCAAACAAGAGCAAACTAAAGTAAGGAGAAAACAGGGCGAAATTTCGAAAAAGAGTGTACGCACGCGCCTAATTTCCAACACAGACAGCTCTTACCTGGGGAGAATTAAAGTTTACTTGATTTGATTCGTACATGTCTTGATTTTTCCAGTCCCGTACATACCCCTGCAACCTTAAAGATAGCCAGGCTGTGCCTTTCCGTAGGGAGTTCGTCATTGATTGCTGGAAACTACTGGGGACGGTGGGGTACGGTCCCACGTGACGCCGCGCAGAGCAACATTAGCCACTTGGCCTACGGCCCTCAAAATGTATTTAAAACACATTAATTAGATGACTGAGAGAGAAAAAAATGGTGCTTAACTTATAAGTTGAAGAAAATCAGTAATTTATCGAACAAAGCATAGAGTCATCCAAGATGATAAAGAAAATCGTACCTCTTATCAGTTACAACAAAAAGATTATATGAAGTGACCTTGAACTCAATCACATGTCGTTCTAGACTTTCTTCTCAGGAAACATCCAAGTAAAACTCATAGAAATACTTCTAAAAGCTAGATAACTACTCAATTTATTTCTTATACATACATACATACGCATACAATACATATGCATATATATACATACATATTTATATATACATATGTATATATATATACATGTACATGCATGTACGTATGCATGTATATAAGTGTGATAAAAATAGATAGATGTACAATCATGCGTGCATATGTATGCACATATACATACGATTCTTTCTGATTAAAAAGTGAACGAATGAAAAATCAACCTCATTCGTTGAAGAAGTTTTCATAGGAGTGCTAGTAACCATTCGAAAGCTTAGATTTCTGGCTATAGCCCCACGTACCCTCTTTTTCAAAACACAGTTTTATAACGCTGTAAATTTCACACAAAGCTATGTCTCAGACGCGTACGTTTCTCGCCGGACAGAGCTCCTTCTATGGACTATTAGGCTTTTCCCAAAACCGGCCGACGTGCGTGAGGCTGCAGACTGAAGTCTCAGCTTTCGAATGGTTACTAACACTCCTAGAAAAAGTTCCTTTCCAGCGAATGAGATAAGTTTTCCATTTGCTCCCTTATAATACGAAAGAAACGTGTATACATATATAAAGTGCATGTCAGCATACACACGTACACATACCTGTATATGTACACATATAAAGGTAGATATGGACGTGTATACACATGTATGTATATATGAGCATATATAGTGGACATAATGACAACTGGAAGCATATTTATTTATACTTATATACAAAAAAAATATTTTGATTACTGGAACTATCTCTCCTAACTAAACAATCACTTCTACATATTAATTTTTACTTTAATCAATTTTTTGAAAAAAAGAACCATAACCATTGTTTTTATTTCTTGTAACATATTTCAAGAGTTCCAAAACATTGTATTTCTCTATCGAAAAATCATGAATATCAAAAAGGAACTGAAGAAGTATATAAGAAAGCACGAAACCTAGAGTTCATTTTGTCTCACAGCCACGCATTTAAGTAGAGTTTTTTTAGAATAATTCAACAATCTGAGGGTTTTATTGACCCAGTGAGGCGTGAAACGTGGCACACCGATATTAATCAGTACTTAAAAAACTCGAAAAAAAAAAATTCCGCAATGAAAAGGGAAAAATAACGAAAACAGATGGTGCTTTTGATATGGGTCGTCCGCCCTCCTGATAGCTGCTCCTATTATACGAATGATGGCGTTTCATAGTTCGGTGCATGTGCGTAATGCAAACACTACGAAGACGATAACGAGACCGGTATTGATTCCGCTTCGAACGTCGGAACTATCGATTAGAAGAACTATCATCGATCGGGTCGGTCGGATCGATTAGATCGATTGAACACACCAATCTGAGATCCCACAAACCCGAAAAAGCCAAGTGCCCTCTGGTGATTCAGTGTTAACGAAGCTTTTCTAGGCCCAAAAATCGTGCTGCCGGCTTTTCTGCACTTTTCCAGCAGCTAAAACTCTTTCTAACACCCTAAGCAAGAAACTCTCGAGAGGCTTGGGGATCCTCAAGTCATTTTTTTAAGCAAAATAACCACTTTTCAAAATCCTTACATAGGCGAACAAACGTGTCATACGAACCTCTTGAAAGCCCTCTTTGTCCTTTTTTTAAATCTTTCTTAGAGATTGGAATTATTTATTGAAAATCGATGGAAACCCCCATCTCTTCAATCCTTAAGAAGACTTACCATCCTTAGAAAAACCTTCAAAGAAAGAGGCTAATTCGTAAGATAGCTTACATTTCTAACATCGAAGTTTAGTGATAGACAATCCTTTGAATAGGAAGTATCGTAGATCAACTAGTCCGAATCCTGGAGAGGTCAGAAGAGAAGAAAAAGAGAGAGAGAGGAAAGGATAGGGAAAGAAGGAGAATAGAAAGCGAAAAAGAAAGGAAACGGAGATAAAGAGAAAGGGAAAAGAGAGGTGGAAAAGAAAAAAAGATGAAAAGGGAGGGAAGGAAAAAAGAGAGACGGGAAAAGGGAGAAAAGGAGGAAAAGTAAGAGGGAAAAAAAGGAAAAGGAGAAAAAGAGAGGGGAAAGAGAGGAAAAGAAGAAACGAGAGGAAAAGAAAGGAAAACGAAAAAAGATTTAGACAAAAAAAAACTAAGAAAATGACAATTCAACGAAAAAAAAACAGGATGACATCAAAAATCCCGGAGGGCAGCCACGAAAAATCTGAGCCAAACGATGAGACACGAGGATACTGTAGGTAGGTCGCAATTACGTACACTTTTTACAAATGCTCGTCATCGAAGACTAATTGAATTCGAGACGAACTCGATCGTACTGGTTTTGTTCCAAGCCTCCTCCAATATAGAACCATAGTCTTGGATTTATTAAGCCTCCTGTACGAGTATTGAGTGGTTGTCCGGAGCAAGAACTCTCTGGAACTTTTCTTTCTTACTCTGATGGCAGAAGCGCCAGTGGCGCAGTGGTTAAGGGTGCTCTGTAACATTCATGATCAGTCAATTGAAGGTCGATAGTTCGATTCCGAGTCCAAGCCTTCCATCTCTCCAGGATCGGTGAATTGGTCGCAGACTTGCCTGGGAGGATAAGGAGCACTGACTCGAGACAGCGGTAGGCCACCGCCAGTCATTGTAGGTCATAAATTTCAATCAATCAATGAGTAAATATTCAGTGACCTCAAAGAAAGATGGAAAGTGAAGATGAATACAGGGCGCATCCCTCAGGGATTGGCGAACGCCGAGAGCTTTGTCCTTCATCTTCTGAAGTCCAAAATATAAAATCAAAGCGAGTTAGACATAACAAATAATATAGAGTAATGTGCAAAATGTTTGCCTCAGGCGGAGCTCAAACCCGCACCTAACTTTATCCGAGAGCGCGTGCTCTAACCCGTTGCACTATTGAAGCCCGTTTTGCTGACCACTCTTTCTACGTGGCAACGCATCTGTCTGTCAGCAAACCGACCGTCAACGGTTTTACCCAGGTGGTCAGTATTGACACGTACGCAGTCACGCTGACAGATATTGGCTATTGGATGATCAAATCGAATTCTCTTTTATTTAGCCGCTTTTAGCGGTGATATGATGTTCTAAAGATAGCCACCAGTGTAGAGTGATCAAAGCGAGTTTTTGCGAGAGTTTGTCCACAAAGCGGAAAATCAGCGGACGGATTATATCTATGATTATTATTTGAGCCGTGAGCGCATGTGGCGCAGTGGTTAGAGGTGCCCTGCGTCGCACACGAGGTTAATGGTTCGATCTCGCGCTTATGGCTCACCAAGCCATCCATCCCTCCGGAGTCGGTAAATTGGTACCAGGCAGGTCTCAGACTTGTCTGGGAGAATAAGCAGCACTGACTCGGTTGAGCGGTAGGCTACCGCGAGTCATTGTAAAGGCCAGATATGCATTCAATTACCTCAAACGAAGTTGAAAATTGAAGTCGAATGCATGGCGCATCCCTCAGGGATTGATCGACGCCGAGAGCTTTATCCTTTATTTATCCTTTTTATTATTTGAGCCGACATGTCACATGGTGTGTTATGGGCTCTTGTACAGCCTGAAACACGTGTTTCGGCCTTGTAGCCTCGTCAGTCGGGCAAGCCCTTCGCCATTAGCCTTTCTCAGGGGCCCTCACATCACCCTATAAAGAGTAGGCGACGACGAACGATTTACACAATTGCCTTCAAGTGAAATAAATCACTAGATCGACGGTGTTTCACACTCGATTGCTCTTGGCTGGTACTTTTGAAAGATATTACACCGTCTCGAGTGTTTTATTACGACGACGCTCAAAATTAAATATATCTCATAATCGTTCGTCGTCGCCTACCCTTTATAGGAGGATGTAGGAGCTCGCGAGAATATTGGTGAAAGAAAAAGGCCTGCCCGTGTGACGAGACTGCAAGGCCGAAACACGTCCATCGGACTGTACAAGAACGCATAACAGACCACCTTACATGTTGACTCAAATAATAATTATGGAGTATATTCAACTTTGAGCTTCATCTTAGGGAAACACTCGGAACAAACGGACAGATTGTCTATAAGACTTATGAGTTCGTCAGGCAACTCGAGAGGGCAGGTCATCCATCATTCCCACTGAACTGCTGAACTGGTTCGGCTCGCTCAATGGCTACGAGCGTTACCTATTATTACCTAGTGATCCGTATCACCTGTCGTTCCGTTGATCGCCGACTGACTCAGGCAGGCACCGGTAGTATATACTTGCATTTTTGTAATAACAAATTTTGAGCCTTTCGTGAGGTCTGTTGTGGCACTTAGACAGTGCTAGACGTACGTTTCGGCTTCTCAGCCTCATCACTAGTACGGCGCCTTTCGTTTTAGCCAATCTTTTATAGGAGAGTATACCCCTACATATAAAGGAATTGATGAGGAACATATTACACTGCACATATGTCAATTGACAAGATTACCCGATATTACAATGATTAACAGTCGATTGCTCATGGCTGGTAAGTTTGATAATACCTTTATGAGACCTCTAAATATGTTATCAGATTATGCCTTTTGTTCCGAGTGTTCCTTCAGACCACGCTCAAATTTTAATATGCGTGATAGTTATTTTTGAACAATTTATGTGGTCTGTTAGGGGCATTTATAAGTTGACTCCTCTGTACAAAGGGTAGATCTCTAAAAACTGAGTGAACGACAAGGCAACTGACGACGCTGTAAGATCGAAACACGTGTATTGCACTGTATAAGTGCCGATGATAGAGCGCTTGTATTGCCCAAAAATGACTATCAGGCATATCAAATTTTATTGTTCAAAGCGTCTTGAAAAAAACACTCTAAAAGAAAGATGCTTTCATTTCTCCTTATCGCGTGCAAGAGTAGCCCAGTGAGTCCTCCTCGTTCTAGGAATTCATCGAGCATCATATCTTTCTTCTAGGCTCTTTGTGAAGAAATTAGAGCATCGGAGCGGTGGTCTTCCTGGGTAGCGCTTGACAACCCGAGAAAACTAATCGGAAACTACTTTCGTCCGATGGTTGTCGTTAAAACGCAATACGTGTCCGTCCTAGCTGATATTCGATATCCTGAGGTATACAATGCCATCAAAAACCTGGTCGTTATGTAGGCAGGATGAAAGATCACTAGACGTTTTTGAACGCGCAGCTGAAAGGTCGATGCTAAGAGTATCCCGTCTAGCGCAATGAGAAAGGGTTCGCAGTTCATCTACGTGAACGATCGAAAATCAAAGACGACATTTACACACCAGGCCATTCTTTTACAATGAGGCCGTTGATCTTATTCTTACTGCGAGATACTTGCAGGTTGTTCGTCAGACAGTGTTGGAACGGATGTTAAGGTCATTATTAGTTTAGCTCGATCTTGAAGCGCTTACACTTATTTCGTATCCATAAATTGCAGAGTTCTGAAGGAATCTACATATTTATGCATACTAACAGCTTGGTGGGAGTTCAACCAACATGGCAAAAGCAGGGAGCCTCTCCTTTAGATCGACACTGCTCCGTCTTGCTGCAAGGTACACGACCACCTTTGGTTTTCGTTTTACACATATTAGAATAGCTAGCTGTACCAGTTAGGCTAATGCGCGAGGAATATAGCAATTAGTTCAGTGAAATATCGTCTCTGACGAGCCAAGTGACAGTAACAATATATCACGTAAATGGGCTAGTAGCCTTCCTTCATTTTAACTCACTCAATGCATATATGCGAAACATCTCAGCTACGTAGAGAAATTTCTTTTTTGCTGCTTCTGTAGCAGGATTATGATCCTATGCTACAACAATAAGTCTAATGTTGAGTAAAAATTTTCATTCTCGGACGGGAGTTGAACCTTCCTCTCAAAGGCAAGTGCTGATCACTTTTCTACCGAGGCTTCTCTTGTTACTATCACTCCTTCTGAAAGATTTGAAGTGTTAAGAGATCGAAGAAGCCAAAGTTTTTATATTTCCCGACGTTCTTGGATATACAGCATCACAGCACAGCTACTAACCAGTCAAATCAAAGGATTCTTGTACATTAAATAAAACTCACGATAGTGATGCTCAACTGACACATCTCCCTGTATCAAAAGCCCACATGGATAATGATATGATAAGAATACCATACATGCGATACTGTAAAAATGGAAATTCTTTGAGAGAATAGCTATTGTACAAGCTCCTAACTGAACTCGCTTAAGAGAGATGTGAGAAGAATTTTCTCAAAGTAACCGTATACATTTCGCAACGATGATGTTAAAGTAATCGTAATTTTTGACAATGTCAACAGAAAATGAGGATTCCTTAGTTAGAAATAACAAGATTTTAAGCCACTCAAACCTGGAGATTTGTGCAGCCGCTTAGAATCTAAGAAGATTGCCAAGTTTGTGAAATTTTATGCAATGCTAAGAACTTTTCTACCTTGCATGCATCAACAATTGACATCTGAGGACATGGTTCCATGACCACTATTTACAGCTTTGGAGAATGTGACACTACGATCAAGGTCTCGAAGAAAGGAAAGTGATACAGGATACAGCACTAGCGGTTCTGCTTAACAGTGCGGGTTAATGAGATTGAGTTGTCGGACATGCGTAACTCTAATAATCGCGAGTAGCCATGTCTGATCAGTTGAGCTGCGATGTCACCAATGGTCGTTAATCAAATCGCATAAGAAAGCGTGAATAAGCCTCATAAATATGTAATTTGGCACTTTAAACCAATGTTGAGTTAACGTGAGAAGCAAGCGTTAATCTCTGAGAGTTGTACCAACGAGGCAAATGGTCACGGCTTTTTCCTCAAATTTCACTAGATGTATGGAGCAATGTAGCTTACGAAAACATTACGTAGTAACAGATACAGGCAAAGTTTTGAGTTCAGTTTCCTATCAATCTACTCTACCAAATCACAATTGCTTCTAGTTACTTTCGAACCGCACGGATGGACGATATCTTTCAACCCATAACGCTCGGTCCGATTATATCTCTCAATTGAAATCAGTATCTATCAATAACAGTAGTCGGTAAAAGTTAGGTAAATGAATTAATTTTTTTGAAATCATCGTTCCATAGTTCGCTCAAAAATAGGAGGAAAAGTTCCAAAAAGAAAGCTTGAGAGAAAGGTTTTTAGAAGTGCTTTACAGGACCGTAATAATCGTCTCTATGTACGCTATAGAGCACGTATCGGGCGTTATAGGTTGAGATTCCTTCTAAAAGCTTTTATAAGTTTGCAAGGCACTTTTTGAAGACCAAGTTTCTTTTACACTACTTGCGATGACTACAACTTTGTTGGCAAAGTGAATATATATATACATGTATATATATATAAATTATATATACATGTGCATACATATACGTACACATGCGCATATATATGTATATATACAAATATATGTATGTACATGTAATATATATGCATATATATATATATATGCGTATTTATAGTATACATACGCTTTCTCAGTGCGCGCGTCAAATGAAAAACCAAACGTACATACAGAGACCACTCACGCAGAAACAATCCCGTTCAAGAACGTCCTTAAGAATGTAAAGAACTTGATTTTCTGCTTTTCCGAGAGTAGTTTCTAATAAGTTCTGCACATTCATGGAAGCAAGTTTTTTTCTATCTTAAATTGCAAACTGAATTGCGATGGCGCGTGTAGAGCGGTGGTTAGAGACGCTCAAGAAGACACTTTTGGTCCGAATCAGCGCTCCGAGTTCATTAGGGCATATATCCCTGCGAAGTCAGCAGCTCAGTATGAAAGCTGTCTGGGTGCATAAAACGCTGAATTAATACATCGGTAGGCCATCATGAGTTATTGTAATGGCCAGGTGTGCGTCCAATCATCTCTGTGATACTACGATTGGATCAAATTCATGACGCATTCCTCAAAGATTACTCAACGCCGAACACTCCATTCTTAGTGAGGAATAATGCCAAATTT